GATGCCTGCCTCTCACCTAAAGCCTAGGGGAAAAGGCTTGGATGGGACTACTTGAAGAGCTTGATATCTGTCTCAAGCACCTTGAACAACATATTGAACTGGCACCTGATTCATCTCTGGAAATTCTAAAGGGTAAGAAGCTGGATGAAGAGGCACGTGAGCGCAAAAGAGAGACGGCTGAATTGGGACCACTTCCAGAGTCCCTCTCGACAATGAATGCTGCCTGTGGAGAGAGCGAGCTGGGGTGATGTCATCTGGGTCCAACCCAGGGGGTGACCTGGAACTTGAACAGATCTCAGCAAAATGAACATGATGGAACTGCCAGACCCAAGAATCTGAGGATGATATAAAAAACCAGCCAGGCTATAGATGCATTCTCACTGTCAAACAATGTGAGGTGAGCAGCTGACATGGGAGGCAGAGGATCCACAGGTAAAAGAAAGAACTTTCAACACACGCCAAGTCTACAACAGCGTTGAAGTTAAATCACCAGGCACTAATCAAGCATGAGTTAGTTGCTGCTCTTCTTTCCTCTCTTCCCTTCTTCTTTGTCCAACTTGGGAGGGATGAGACACTAGGGCTGGCAAGACAAAGGACAAACAGAAAAGCCCAGTCAGAAGGGAAAAAAAAAAAAATCCTCACTTATTGTCTTCCCCCTTGCAATGGGCAGAGCTAGGAAGTGGGCATGGGGAAGAAGCCTCATCTTTAATTCAGGTTCAGTCTGGGGCTTTAATTTGTTGGTACTAGACATTTCAATAATCAAATTGAGATTTTTATGACTTAGTTACTGAAGAACAATTTGCATTATCTCAACGCAACTAAAAAAGTCAAGTTTATCCATGGACAGAGAGCATGATAGCCTTACAAGTAAATTGAAAGGGACAGTGAATGACAAAAATAAAACCATTTTAGAATTTCATCTCACAAGCCCTGCTTTTCAACCTAACACACTAAAAGAGTTGACACGGTAGAGAGCAGAGAAGTACACAAATGTGATCTTATAAAACATAACTCAGCCCATCCAGCTTCTCTATCTTGAGAATGGCTCAGTCATTAACAATTCCAGAAATCTGCCACAACATGACTCAGAAATCTAATAGTACTTTTTAAAATTTGGCATGAGCAACCAAAAGATAATAGACTCACTTTAAAAAGCAGAGACTGTCTTGCTCCCTGATGTATCTCTAACACTCGGCGAAGCACCCTTACATAAAAGATGCTTAAAGAACTGCTGTGTTCTTTCCATGTGATGGCGAGGTTAGGTTCTCAGAAAACAGAATCTGAACAAATTCTGTTCAGATGTGTTTAGAGACTTTTTAGTTAGTTAAATGTATGTTACTATGTGTAATGTTATAATGTAGATTACTTTCATCCTTCTCCTTTTGTTGTCAGCCAAATCTCTGAAAAATGCATATTGTATTTCTTGCATACTGCATTGCATTTTGTACTGCACTACAAAACCAGACAGCAAATGTGAATATTTTAAGCTCTGATATTAAAATACTAGAAAAATTACTATATAAAGATTTTAGCAGAAAACCCACAAAGAAATATAGTATCTCACAATGCCATTAATGCAGGATGATTTATTTTAAAAAGAAATAGCATTTAAAAAGTATATTAGCCAGTATTTTACTAATACTTTGTTTACTGGTATATTTGTCTTTTCAGTGACAGCCTGAATTAAGGGCCTACTATCTTAGTTATAGTATCATCATCTCTCTTTTAAAGATTAAAAAACTAAGGCCCAGAGGTTAATGACTTGCCCAAGGTCACAGAACTAGTAAATGGTAGAATAGGCATTTTAACTCAAGACAGTATGTCAGAGTTACCAAGTCATGCTAACAATAAGGCTGAAGAGGTAAGTTCTGTTGACTCATTTCCAAAAGAAATAAAACCCTATTTTAATGGTTATCTTTATAATGTCTAATTCTGAAATATAAGCTATTGTCAGGTCAACCACAGTTCTATTACCATACCTCTACTGATGTGATATTCCTAGTAAACTCTTCATGAGTGAAAACACTATATAGCAGACACCAATAAAATTTCTACATTTGATAGGAAGGTAAAACATACCTTGCATGCCATTTTTGGGATTTAATGAGTCACTCCTTATCCTGACAAAATGTCAAACAAGGTTTTTTAGATGAATCATGTATCTGCATTTAGTTAAGTGGCTCAATCTACAAGTTTTCAAAGAGCAAATACAACCAAGGATTTGGCCAATTGTAATTAAGGATCATCCTTCTCTGGTAAGCTTTTTCCTAGTTTAGTAAAAGTTGATATATTACCCATCATTCTTATGGAATTTACAATAAGTGTGAAAGAAAGTGAAGTTGCTCAGTCGTGTCTGACCCTTTGTGACCCCGTGGACTGTAGCCCACCAGGCTCCTCCGTCCATGGGATTCTCCAGGCAAGAATACTGGAGTGGATTGCCATTTCCTTCTTCAGGGGATCTCCCCGACCAGGGATCTCCTGCATTGCAAGCAGATTCTTTACCAACTGAGTTATCAGAGAAGCCCACAGTGATAGGATTTGGGCTCCTCTTTCCATGGAATTCTCTAGGCAAGAATACTGGAGTAGGTTGCCCTTCTCTTCTCTAGGGGATTTTCCCAACCCAGGGATTGAACCCGGGTCTCCTGCACTGCAAGCAGATTCATTACCATCTGAGCCACCACGGACGCCCACAATAAGTGTATGTGATTATAAAACTGACAGTTTCCAAACTGGCACATAAAGGCAGCAGGTCTTAAGTGTATCTTTCAGAAACTGAAGGGTGTTGACCGAAAGAGACCTATAATCAGGCAGCTTCATTCTCCTGCCTTGCTTTAGAAAGAGAGGTGAGAGAGCCAGGTGAGATATTTCAGGGTCAATCCGCGGTTCTCCACCGGGGATGATCCCTGCCCCCCTCTCCCCCAGGAATGTTTGGCAATGCTTGGAGACAAATTGATTGCCACTATTGTGTGTGCATGTGGGGGGACTACACCTACTGGGTAGCACCAGGGATGGTATCCTCATGTATAATACAAAGTACAGCCCTGCCCACTCCCAGCAAGGAATTATTCAGTCTGCAGTGTCAGCAGTGCCAAGGTTGAGAAACTCTAGTAGAAGAGATTAAATGTCTGAGGCCCTGAGCAGAGGGGGTGGCCTGAGTGTTTAGAGACTGTAACTGTAAACACTCAATCAGAGAGTCCCAGTGATACTCAGTAAACATCAGATGCAGCACTCAAGCAGTGCTGCAAGCGCTGGCAGAGGGCAGCCTCCTGCTTTGTCACATCTGAGATGGGGCGGGCAAAGAACTTCTATTAATACTCCCACCTTTCACAGTTGTGATTTTTTTTCTGATATAAGAACAGGAAATTAAAAAAGCCAAAGTAGAAAGAAAAGTAGTTTGCTAGAGAGAAAAGAAACTTCTTTTGTTAAACTGTACACAGTTCCACTACCAACTTCCTGAATGTTTCTATGACTTACAGCAGGGCCCCAGACAGTTGCAATCTAAAATAAAAATAATGGCTGTTCTGGACACACAATAAGAGAAAATCAGAATAAATATGTATGTATCTGGACCGTAAGTATTCTAAAGACCACACATGATTTCAGGAAGCCCAGCTTTTAGCTCCCAAATGTGTAAATACCCTGATGGGATATTATTTTTTCCTTCCTGGGCCTTTCCATTTCTGAATCTGGGAACTCTCAGTTACAAGAGAAAAGAGTAAAAACGGGACACAGCAAGCTGTGAAATGGTGCTGCCATAAAACAAAAACCAAATACCGACAAACAGAACTTGCCTTGCTCTTTCCGTGGGGGAGTCTGACGATTAGGCAGTTGTACCCTTCCCTCTGCTCTTCCATTTGATCTCTCATGCTTTAGTCCTTTCCATTATTTTTCTTTCTACTGTCAATCACATTTCTTCACCAAAATATTTTTACCTTATTGTTATCCATTTTAACTTCCATTTCCTTCTTTTCCTCTCTTTCAACTCTCTTACTTTACCCTCTCAAGAGTGCCAACTAGTAATGGAATTATATAATGAAAATTTTGGAGTTGAGTCAGACTTTAGAGATTTTCTAGCAGCAAACCCCACCATGCCCGCCTCTCTTCACATACCAACACTCCTAACAAGTGGTTAGCCAACTCCGCTTCAACACTAAACTGAGTTCCATCACTTCAACTGGCTTTCAGAAACCACGGAGAAGGGGATCACTTCTCACCTGATGGACATGGAAAAACTTACCATGAGATCTAAACAGAGCAATGTAATTAAATTGCTTCTGCTCCATAGAAACCAACTGTTTCTCATCATCAACCTTTACTCAACTAGGAAAAAACTCACCAGCCAAGGACGACCCTAAATTACAATTGGCCAAATCTACCGGCATATTTGCTTTTTGAAAACTATCTTCTGATAGACTGAACCATTTAACTCAAAGAGACACATGATGCATCTAAAAAGCTTTGACTTTCTGTCGGTATGACTCATTAAATCCTGAAAATGACACGCAAGGTATGCTTCCCCCTCCTTCATCGGCAAGAAGGTTTGTTCCCCACTTAAGGACTTAACCAATAAAAGGCACTGATGAATTTGGAAGACTCGAGGTCATGTTGGGTAAATACGGTACTGAGCTTCATACAGTAGTGTAAAGCCTTGTGGAGGCTTGGCACATGCACGAGAGCAAAAGTAAAGTGATTTCTCATTCTGCAGTTAAAGAAGGAGATTCTAATTTGTTCCGTGCTGGCTTATCCCAGAAGGATAGCAGGGTCCAAATCCCCATAAACCCAGCCGTGCCGTCGGGTTTAGTTTAGCTTCAATGAACATCACCGGCATTGCACCGAAGTTTGAACGCTTCTAGGAGCTAAGTCTCTGGCTGTTGTTTCCAGAACAGCCACCTTTCAACTCGCCCGGGGCGCGGGGCGCGCAGCCTCCCAGGCGGGCAGGTGGGCCCGGCGCTGCCGCGCATGGGGTCTCCGCCTTGCCCACTCCGCGGCCGCGCCCATACCTTGGTGAGCTGGGCGATCTTCTTGCTCATTTTCAGGTGCAGGTCCTGGCTGTACTCCATGCAGTGCCCCGCCTGCTGCGCGGCGGCCGGCGAGGGGACGAATTTGGCCGCCGAGCCGCCGTAATAGTGCTGCTGCCAGCTCATGCCCGGGGTCGCCATCTTCTCGGCAGACCCCGGCCGGGGAGCGGGTCAACGCGCTCGGGGGGCGGCCAGCCGAGCCGCGGCCACTGGGACGCAGGAGGCCGGGCGGCCGCTTCCGGACCCGACACCCGGCCGCGCCCGCCGGCCGCAGCCGCCAGCACCCACCCGCCCTCGATCTCCCGGTCACCGCCGTCCAGGGACAGGGGCGGCCCCGCTGGCCCGAAGCCGCGGGCGACTCGGGCGCGGGGCAGATGCCCAGGTCCGGAGGCGGCCCGGCGGGGCCCGACCCGCTCTCGCCCGCTCTGCAGCTCGCGCCAGGCGGGAGCGACGCGGGCAGCGTGGCCCCGCAGGTTCCGCTCCCACCGGGCACCCCGGACCCAGCCAGACGGCCGCCGCGGGGCTTGCGGAGGGAGGAGGAGCTGGGGCGGGCTGCTGCGGGGGGGAGGCGGGGACACGGAGGAGGCCGCGGGAGCCGCGGAGCCGCCGTTACCAAGGCGCGCGGCCCGCGGAGCGCGCGGGGCGGCGACGTCATTTCCCCGCAGCCAAGCCCCGCCCCGCGCCGCCGCGGGCCCCGCAGCCCCGCAGCAGGTGCGGACGCCTTTCGCCGGGCCGGCAGCCAGGGTTTTCCCCCGCAGCTGGGGCCGATCTCCACTCCGCCCCAGCTGCCGCCGGCCGGAGGTAAGTGCTGTGTGCCGCGCGGGCCGGAGAAGACGGGGCCGTGGTGACCCTCGGTGTGCCGAACGCGTGCAGACTTACCCAGCCTTTCCACGTGCATCATCGCGTGCCCTGGGCCCAAGTGGCTCTTCCCCAAGAAGAGCGGCAAACTCACCTCCAGCTCCCGCCCAAGCACGGCCTCAGCTCCAGAGACGTGCGTGATGAAGTAGTGGGAAATCCAATACCCCCGACCCAGACCTGTGCTTCCTATCGAACTCACACCAATGTGATTGTTTCACTGTCTTAGGCTGACCTACTACGTGCCAAGCACTGGCCTTCATTCAACACCTAGTGTCTATGAGTGGAGAGGACACACCTCATCAATTAGTATAGCATTGCATCACTACTCTTCCCCAGTCTAATGGAGCTCTAGATAATTGTATACGAAATCTAGTTGACTGCAAGTAAAGAGGAAAACAGAAGCTGGAACAAAATGTCAGCTCCTTAAAGATTTGAGGCTGGGCCAAAATAGTCATTACTTGTGCATTTCACCTTACCAAATATTGTTGTTGCTGTTTAGTCACTCAGTCCTGACCGACTCTTTTGCGACACTATGGACCCTCCTCTGTCCCAGGCAAGAATACTGGAGTAGGTTGCCATTTCCTTCTCCAGGGGATCTTTGGAACCCAGGGATAGAGCCCACCTCTCCTGCGTTGGAAGGCGGATTCTTTACCATTAAGCCACCAGGGAAGCCCATTAAATGTATTATTTCCTACTAATTATCTCTTAACATCTCTACTCCTGCAGATCAAAAAATTTTAAGTATGTCCCATGTTGAAGTAAATCAGTCGTTTTAGGGCATTCATAACACACATTTTTAAAATACTGAATCCTGCCTGTTAAAAAAAAATCTATTCTCATGCAGTTTTGCAAGACTGAATCCCCTCCTGTTATAACATGTAATTTTTCTTTAGTATGCAACTTAGTGTTTATTGCTCTGTCGTATCCAACTCTTTGGGATCCCATGGACTGTAGCCTGCCAGGCTCCTCTGTCCATGGAGTTCTCCAGGCAAGAATATTGCAGTGGGTAGCCATTCCCTTCTCCAAGGGATCTTCCCGACCCCTGGGAATGGGAATTGGACCCTGGGTCTCTTGCATTGCAGGCGGATTCTTTACCATCTGAGCCACCAGGGAAACCCAGCATGCAACTAAGGACCATATAGATCTGAGATTGTTAACAAATCCAATTGGGGCCATATTAACAAAGTATTTGTGACAAAATCTAAGCCTACAAGGTGAAGGTGGACTAGGATGTTGAAATACTCCTGGAACTGTAGGAATTCCAGAAAAGAAGCTTGGAATTGGCTAACTTTTCCCCCAGATGCTAGGTACTCAGCCCTCCCCCAATAGAACTTTCATAAAATAAGTTGTCTAGTTCCAAGGTTCTGAATAGAGCCACCGGCCAGAAACAAATATTATGCAAATGTTGCTACCTTCTTAAGTTCTAATGATTAAATGAAATTAAAGAGAATTAGGAGGTGGGTTATTTCATCAAATTCTAGGCATGGAAGATTCACAATCATTTTAGAACTCTCCTGTCCTTTACATTCTCTGCAGAAGTATGTGCTTCAAATGCTCCCTAAGTTTCCTGAAATTTTTATAGCTAAGTATTGCTAGGGCAAAGAAGGTGTTTTTGTTTTTATTCTATAATGCAGTAGAAAGAACACGGGACTGAAAATAAGACCAATGTGTAACCTCAGCTGAGTCAGTCAACAATCTTGTTCATCCCTCAAGTGCCTCCTCTGAAAAGATAGTTATCAACCTCTTCCTGGCCTAACTTGGAGTTAGAGGCTGCAACTTGGTTCACTGGTAGTTTACTCTGAACCCCATCACAAGAGTTCCCACCATCACTATACAGTAGAGCTAGCTCCATAGACGCCCAGTGTCATTCTTTAAATTTAATAGTTTTACCTGACCACAATAAAACAGATCATCTGCTATAGAATTCTATTTAATTATAAAGAATACATAGAAACATAAAGACTAATATAACACACTCATAATCTCATCACCAGATTCACACTTTTAAAAAACCTAGTGAAGGAGTTGTGCATTAGGAGAGAAAATAGGAAAAGCTAGTTAGGCATCAAATCTTTTTTTTAGTACACATTTCTCTCGTGAGGTGATTTATGCAGAAATATGTCTCAAAAGCCTACTGTGTGCCAGGTGCTGCATTAGGTGCTGAGGCTATACTGAGCACTAAGAACCAGTGTCTGCTCTCAAGAAGTTATCAGTCTAGTGGGAAAAACAGACAAGGAGTAAGATGCAACACAGTGTGGTAAGTGCTAATTAAAGGAACTCACAAGAGGGGCACTTAACCCAGCTTTGGCGTGTCAGAGAAGGCTTCACACGCATGAAAAGGTCATGTCTGAATGGATCCCTGAAGGATGAGTTCTTCAGATAAAGAGAGATAGCAGACGTGGACTGCTGGCTCTGAGCACAGGCAGGGCGAAGCCCCAGGGGTGAGAGAGGGCAGAACCCACTTAGCGAGCAGCAAGCTGTACGGAATGGATGAAGCAAAGAGCTTGATGGGATGTCAAAATATGAGGCAGAGTAGGTAGCAAGGTTATTCATGAGGGAGAACTTATTTGCCTTGTTGAGGAGGTTGGGACTTTATCCAAAAGGCAGTGAAGAGCTGCCAAAAGACTTTAAACAGGTGACTAAAATAATCAGATTTGCACTTTTTTAATGTCATTCTTTGACTGTGGAAAACAGGTTACTTGGGCATTTTAATGTCATTCTTTGTGGAAAACAGGTTACTTGGGCAACTTAGACATGGAGACTGGTTAGTGGGAGGCTATTGGACTTATTCAGATGAGAGAGAATAAAAGAAATGGATGGATCTGAAACAGCCGTAAGATAAAGCAGGGCACTGGGACTGAGCAGGAGAGAGTAGTCAAGGGCTCCCCCGAGACAGGAACCAAAGTAGGAGGGAGAGGTGGGTGAAGGTGATAAATTCAGGGTAGAATATACTATCTTTGAGATACCTATGGTACATCAAAGTGGAGATGCAAGTGAATTCACTCAGTTGCAAGTGAATATAGAATAGGGGAGGTAATGAGAGTAATCAAATCTGAATACAAGAGAAGGTAAGTACTGCTTACAAGAGAAGACCAGAAAAGAAGCATCGGTGTAGGTGGGTTGTCGTCTACAACGTGATAGAACTTGTCCTTGCGGAGGAGTCATAACCCAAGGCTGCAAGCATCGGGCCCAAGGGACGAGCTGGAAGTGAAAAGTAGTGAGGAGTAGACATGGACCAGAACTTCAAGAACTTCAAGTCAAGGCTCTTGTTTCACACATATTGAACATCAGAAAGGTTGAGTTGCACAAATTTTAAAAGCCAGTTAAAGCTAGAATTATTACCCAGATGTTTTAAACCCCAGCTTTCTCTGGTTTACAGTAATTTAAAGTTATTTATCAGAGAATCTCTGTTCTGGTATTCTCTAACTAGACATTTCTTATGCTAATATTTCCATACACCGATGTTCCAATATGATTTGTATTTGCAGTGATGTCTCAGAGGATTGCAAATTCCCCTCAACACTTTTCTGCACTGTTAGAAATGGTGGGGAGAGGGAGGAAAAAAGTGGTGGTGGTAGCTGTGAAGATCAATTGGTGATGAAGCTACTGAGGCTCAGATGGTTCCATCCAGAAAGGGTTATAATGAGTTATAACATGGTTATAAAATTTAGTAAACATGTATAATAATAACTTTTTTTTTATTTTTCTCTTAAGTTTTCCAAATCATATATACCTCAGACTCCAGAAAACCTAGATTAATCCCAGGCAGCAGTATGTAAAGTTAAGAATTTAATTGAGGGTTGGAGTGGAATATGACATGCAATGGAATATCACCTAGTCGTGAAAAAGAATGCAATAATGCCATTTACAGCAACATGGATGAACCTGGAGATTATCGTATTATATGAAGTAAGTCAAAGACAAATATCATATATCACATGTGAAATCTTAAAAAAATGGTACAAATGAACTTATTTACATAAGTGTCCAACTCTTTGAGACCCCTTGGACTGTAGACCACCAGGCTGCTTTATCCATGGAATTCTCCAGGCAAGAATACTAGAGAGCATAGCTATTCCCTCCTTCAGGGGATCTTCCCAACCCAGGGATCGAACCCAGGTCTCCTGCATTGCAGGCAGATTCTTTACATTCTGAGCCACAAGGGAAGGCTTGTTTAATAAACGGTTCATAACTATTTCTGAATTTTATTTTACTTTTAAAAATTGTTGATTTGGCTGTGGCAGGTCTTCATTGAGGGCCGTGGGATCTTTGGCTGCAGTCTG